ATCCCCCCTCCTCGCTCCTCCAACTCAAGGACTTTCCAGTTCTGTGCAGGTAGATTTTTATTTCCCTTTTTGCTGATGGTCTTTTCTTTTTCTGACACGCAAAACCTGAAGTTAAGCTTTCTGCTACAAAAACATGTTCTGTTTTCCATGTCTTACCCAACCTTTCAATACTTCTGAGCCAGACACACTCATTTGCTGCCCCATTAACAACAGCAGACTGATATCAGTGTTTGCCTGCTGAAAAAGTCCTGGTTGCTCTTATCGGGTGTGCTACGCCCTGGGATTATTCCCTGGAAACTGAAAACAAGTACCTCTGTGAAATGTGTGTTCTTGGGAACTTCGACTCGATCAAACTGCAAGATAAATCTTCCTGACAGTACATATGGAAATCAGCCCACTTTCCATAAAGTTGTGTGATAGCAGTTCAGCTTCTCATTTCTACATAAATATTGTAAAATGCAACAAAAATATTTCTGTGATATAATGCAAGGTGTCCTCTTGATGTGTTCCTGCACATGTGTGCAGAAAGCAGGCCACTTTCTATTTCAGATTCCTTCCCCTTGAGAAAATGATTTTGTCGAATAAAGGGAAAATACTGTTGTTTACTACATGAGAGCCAAACAGAGCCAAAATATTCCTCTTTGCATATGAAAGTCTCTTGAAAGCTTTTCTGCAATCATCATTCTTGCATCTCCTCACCTCTCATGCTGGCAGCGAGGAACTATCTGGAGATTTCAGTCTGCTTTAAAGATTGCAAAACAACCATACTCTACTGCAGCCAAATTTTTTCAGTTTTCTTTCTGATCATGTCACGGAACAACCTTTTACTATGCTGAGCACAGCTCAGCATTGGCCCCATATCTGAGTTGGGTTTCATAAGCATTTAAGCAGCGCAAATTAGGATCAGACTACCTGTATGAGATTGCATAAGGACCCATAGAACTTAAAAATCCTGACTGAAGTCCATAGGGTGAATGACATGCAGTTACTTCAGGAAGCCACCTCTCTTTCTGCCATTACAATAAAAATCAAGAGTAGTCTTGGAAGCCTTAATATTAAAGGTGGAGAGAATAGCAATCAGGAAATAATTCAATCAAGGATTAACAACCTGATAAAAGTAGTTATACTGTAAATATCAATATATTGGCTGTAATCTATTCATTGGTTTTATAATCTCATATAGCTATGTCTAGTGCATTAATAAATATGTTTACGTAGACTCAACATGCAATGGTAAAATAGGTTTCCCATGGTACAGCTTACCCATCTCGAAACTTCATTTGAAACTTCGTTTGAAATGCGAGTTTATTACTTGGATTTGTGAAATACATTTTAAGGATATTTTGAGATGTAAATGATATCAAAGCAAAGGAGACAGACTGACATATATTTGAGGAACCCTCAAAAGAATTAACAGAACTGATAAAGTGTATCACTGAATATCACAATGTGCTTTTAAGAACTCTTTCTGTTTGTGCGTCATCGCTGCCTTGTTTAGTTAAATCCTTCTAGCTGTATTTTGCAAAACAATGTAATAATCGTATCATTTAATCACTAGATGTAAATTACCACAAACTGTGAAAATGAAGTGACTTTAAAAATGTTTAAAAACTGAAAAGGGTATTTTCAGAATCAATGCAGAGGAAAACCTTATCCTTTACTAAAGAAAATATTTTGATACTCTAAATTCAACAAAACCTCCAGGACACTGGAAAAATTGGGTTTTTTGATAGTTTTGTCTGTGTGGAACATGCATTGCTTATTTATGCTTCAGCAGTTACCCTCATGCTAAGATGAGAGAAAAGTGCTTTCAGTACTGCTGCCAAGGTACAACTTAAGCAAATAGAGGAAGTCAAAAGTGTGAATTGTGTTTTTTCCTTCTGTGCTTCTTACAGTCATAATAGATTCGTGGGAATGATCAAAAAGCCATTCTCACGTAACTTCCTCCAACTTTTGGAATAAGCTTTAAGGGATGATAAGCTCTAATAGAAGTTTAGCGTTTCGGCTATCCAAATGTTGAATGTGACACAAATGGCTCTGTAGAGTAAAGGGGGTAAATGTATTTATTCAGGCCTTTCCAAAGCAGAAGCTGCTGCAAAGAGCATAGGATAAAATTCATTCTCTAAGAGAAAATCAGCACAAGGTCACACAAATCTCATCTAAGCCTGAACATCTGGCCAAGTGCCACAAAATTTAAGTATCATCTGAATTGTTTCTGAAAATCACATAGGCAACTCCACATTTGTGTCACATACATCATTTAAACTTTTGGCTCAAGTTAGGAACATCAGGACCTAATTCTGTATAAACCCTTGGTAAATACTCATCCAAGCTGTTGTCTATAGCATTCCTCAAAGAAAGAAACATGAAAGAAGGAAATAATAGATATTGTTTGCCTTAAAATATGAATTTAAAAAATGTTAAGTCAACATAAACCCTCAGAAGACAGTTTATTTTACTGTGGAGCTGGGGAGCTGGGTTGGCATCAAAATACCACTTGCTCTCTTGCTCTCCTGCTTGTGCCTCCTATTTGTACTCTGCTTTGTTTCCGCAACAGCTGTAGTAGTCTGCTCCGTGCCTTGTGCGCAGAGCTTTTTTTTTTAATTAAATCAAAATGTAAAAAAGCCACAAGTGTGAACTGAAACGTCTGAGCAGTGCGGATGTGGGTGTGCACACGTGTGAATGCACATCCGCCACACCAAGAAAAACATGCGGTGCTACCACGGTGACCTTTTGGTTTCTAGACATTCAAGTCCTGAGGTTTATTTTAGCTTTTAGCACTTTTGGTACTACCTTTTCAAAACTTGTGTTATTTGCACGGAAATCTGGGTCAAGACTGAGGACACCATTTCTGCGCGGTTACGTGGCATAGGTGTGGACACCATGACAAATCCTGTTGACTGAAGCTAATGATCTCCCCACTCTGCCTTTTCAGGCTGCTGTTTTTCTCTCCCAGTTACTAACACAAATATATATGACTCAACGCTGTGAGAACGTGTGAAGTGGTTGCCTTATTTTGTTTGAGTTTCTTTTAGAAGGAGGAAAGGATTTTTCTTTAAGGGCCATGTTTAATATTCATGTTATGGATATAACAGACCAGACAAGAGTAAAGAAACACTCCTGGCACGTGGAGCAACAGCTACTGGCATTTTGTGTTTATGCAAACCCCATATGAGGACCATTTCTGACAGGGGCCCCTTGCTTGCTCTCCTCTGGTTCCTTCTGACCATATGCCACTGTTTTTAAGCAGGCACTTAATATAAACAGTTCAAACTTTACTAAAAATCCTTACCCACTTAATGCAAACGAAAGGGTGTAATGAGGTTAAAGTCATGGGAATAAACAGTTCTTATGAACTGTTTAAATACAGCATGCAGCCTGAGGTGTTCAAGTGATTTTTCTGGGAGATGCAAAATCAGTTACTGGGGAATATAAGAAAGAAAAGCGTGGGGTTTTTTTGTTTCAAAATGCCATGCATTTGTGATGTGTGCTCTTGCTCTGAGGCTTTGTAGATGTCACAGAACAGACTTTTACTGGTGAACAGGCAACTCTAGACATCTGTGAGGAAGGAGTTTAATTTTTTAGATTTTTTGCAATTAAAAACAAGTTTTTGCTAACCTCTCTCTAGCATGACGAAAGTGGAAACTTACCTTCAAGCATATAGAGGCATGTGCGAAGACATCCCAACTCAGGTTGAATTTTGGTAATGCATAGTCAGGTAATGCATCTTCTAGAGCGAACACTTCCTCTTGGGGTCCAGCCGCTTCCTCCTCATGCATAATGCCCTAGTTTTGCTAGGTTCCCCCAAATCATTTCCTCAGAGTATGTCCACTCTGCAGACTCAGGTGTAGACGTAACTCACCTTAAACGAGCTTCTCCAGGTCTAGTGCAAGTGCTTGGAGCTGGGTGGCAGCTGAGCTACCTTGGTGTTTGATGAGAAATTTTAACTTGTGCAAAACTCTGTAGCGGTAGCTCATCAGCTTCCATCACCTGAGCTACCACCTCCCACCTAACACTCAGCTACCAACACAGAGACGCAACAGAGCTCCCTGAGGAGCAATGTCTGGTTTGCTTGGTATGCTGGAAAACAGTGCTAGGGACCACTGTTTTCAAGCGAATCGCAAGGTTGATTAGGAGCCACAGAGGATGACAGAATGTCAAAGTGACCTTTTGTTTTCAGTATAGTGAATTTTATTGCAAGGTTCGATGCTGCATGGGATCAATAACAAGTTATTTCATCACAGATCAAGATGAGTCTTGATACTGGTCCAGTGTTCAGGGGGCGGATTTGTTGGTTCAGATGTCCTCATCTGAGCAAGTCACTCAAGGCTCCCTTTATCGTCATGGGAGAGGCATTGGTTCGTCAGACCTGTTTTGGACATCCATGTTGGAGTGAGCTGAACCTGAAGCGTCAGCTTGTACCCCCAGTACAAGCCCAGGGCGCTAACTCAGGCATCTGCATGGCAGACTTCTACTTCTCATCAGGTGAATCTCACCCCCAGTGTCTGCTTAGTGACCCATCCAGTCTGAGATAAGTTTCCCCTCAGGGCAGAGAGGGAGTCCGTGGCTGTTCTCAGTTCAGAAAAGGTCCCAGAGCCCCTAGTTATGGTAGCGAGGGAGAAATGAGACACTCCTGTTCCTCCTTAGCAGGCTAATGTATACTCTTCTGAAGTCAGGCTACCTGTTTGATTTTCATTTTTCAGTCATGCTGTGTACCTTGAAGGAGAGGCTGGATTCTTACGGGTGAGCAACTGGCTGTACCAGCCACACCAAACTGATAAAGCTTGAATTTTGAATCGATATCATTACAAAGGCATGTACTGCGATGTGACAAAGAGTGGTGCTCAGATACGGATATTTGCTAGCTGATAACGGTCCTCCTCGTGGGACCATTGGATGCGACAGTTGCATAAAGCACCTCAGAACAAGGCCAGCCTCCATCCTCCAAAAGAGGCCTGAGGCTATTCACGTGAAGGAGACGGCCAGACTCTAGCGGCAACATGTCCAACCTGGAAACCGCAATGGGAATGACCATTGCCGTCTTTGACAAGTACGCGAAGACTCAAGGCAATCCGCAGACTCTCACCAAAGCAGAACTAAAGACTCTCCTGGAAAAAGAGCTACCTAATTTCCTCTCGGTAAGATAACAAACACTTCAGCATCATTTCTGTATAAGCGCGAGAGCTATACGCAGACGCAGTGGTCAGCACATTGCAGAGGGAACTCCATCCAGAAAGCTACAATGGTTTGCAGGAACTTTAAGTACATCATTTGAAGAAGAAAAGGCTTTGAGCATACCGTGTAAAATTGATTCTAATATTCAGGGCCAGCCCCAGTTCACCGAGTTCATCACTCAAGTTATCAGGAAAATGGCTTTGAAATAGATTATTTTTCATTTTCAGAATTCATCTACTTCTGTTTATTCCTGGGTGTATAATCTTAGATGATGTTGCAAGTGCTGTGAAGGTGGTTTTGTTGTCAACAACTGAGGATCTTGATTGCAGTGGGGAAATCTCTCTAAGTGTTTCCGTTACACCAGTATGCACACCAAAATGATATATAAACAAGAATAAGAGCAGATTGTTTAGCAATTGTCTTTAATCTTAAAAGAAAGACCTGAGAAACTATTTTAAATAATAGATTTCTCTGTAATCATCATGTACATTTAAATGGTTTCAATATTTATATCTAAATTTCTCTAGACAGGTATTCAAACCTCTTAATATATTATAGTAAATGATTAGTTACTGGGGAGACAAAATGCCTTTCATTTTCAGTCATTTTTTATTTGCTTTCCTTCACTAAAAACCTAGAAAATGGTTTAGGAGTCCTGTTCTTTCTACACAGGAGTAGTATTTATCTATCTGTGAAATTATTCTCCTTACTTGCAAAAGTCTAGGACCAAATCTTCCAAGTGCGGACACCACTTTACGTATCCAGAAAAACTGAATTTTCTAACTATGTTAGAGCACTACAGCAAAGGTAGTTCATACAATTTAGTATCTTTCCATGATACTAAGCAGTAGAGCCACAAGCAGTAGAGTTCGCTGTACGACATGTACGCCTGTTGGATTTATGACTCATTAATTAAATACAGATGCAATATACAGAATAAGAATCCAGATGGCTCTGTGTAGTTACATGAAAATGTCTCTGAAAACATAGAAAATAGATCGGTGACTGTGACTCAGAAGCGTCATGGTAAGTATCTTGCTCCCGGTCATCCTGTTTTTGTAGTGCTTTCAGTTAAAAACCAACCTGCCCTCGCCACCCAAAAAACAACTAATTGTAAGGGTGCATGGAAATCCACGAGACACTTTAGAAACTTTAGTCTTTTTTTAGACATTTGATCTAAAAAAAGTTGGGGAGCCACTGCCCTAAATGGCTACCAGATGGGATAACTCTCCAAGGTCATTCCTGAATATGTCTACTGGTCGGGCACCACTTTTTTTTTATTTCCACATGACTGATTTTATTGCTTCTATTTATTTCCTGAAACAGCAGAAAGTACTGGAATTTCCCAAGGAGGTAATTAGCTAAATGTCCTTTTATGCTCTGGCTTCTGCCTCCCTTACTTCCTTTTTGTATTCTACATATTCTAGAGAACAAATAACACCAAATAACATTTTATGTTAGCAGTTAAAATAAATTTAAAAGAACGATGTTCTGTCCTGTGGGCCAATAACTACATGCAGGGCGTGACTGAGAATATAAGTCTGACTTCACCAAAAAAATGACCATTTTACCTGCTTTTTAAAGACTTTCATATATGTGTGTGTGTGTGTGTGTGTGTGTGTGTATGTATATATATATATTTTTTTTTCAACAAGAAAGACAGGATCCTCTAAATGCTCATCTATATTTGTGGTTTAGAAAACGTTATACCTGAAAAGAGCAAACTACCTAGAAAGCTCTTTATGAGCTTCAGTCAGAATCAGAATTTCCTAATTCGTGATCAGGAGGAGAAATAAATCCATACATTGGCCTAAACTATTGGACTAAGTTACTAAGTGTTTACATAGAATAATTAGCGGGTTACATTTCAGAAGCAATTCAGAAGCTAAAACTAGTTCATGCAAGTAGCTAAATGACTGTAAATATGCACTTGTAAACTGAAAAGGAACAAAAACCTTTCAGATACATTCATCAACCAAATCTAGGCAATGGTTCAATTTTTAGTGATTTCAAAGATGCATTTTTTTTTCTTAAGTGAAACATGAAATTACATAACACAGAAACTTAGTTAATTAGCCTGTGATCCAGTAGAGCCTTCAGATTTCAGTCAAGGTAGTCATTATTCTAAATTCCGGGAATATTTCCAAAAGTTTATTTAACTTCTTCCTACCGTAATATCAGATTTATTTTTTTCTTTAGCTTCAACAAAGCCCACAGGGCAGTGGTTTCCTGTATTCCATAGGTCTCTGCTGCCACCCCCTGTTTATTATCAAAAACTGCATTTTCCAAAATCGGTGGAATCAATAAAACCGACCCACTGCAAGCACCTTAAAAAAAAACTTTTTTTTTATATTGCAAAAATTAAAAAAAAAACAAACAAAACTCTTTTTACTCAGACATTTTCCTGCTTAACATGCCGGGGTAGCGCGCCTGGGCTGGGCAGGGCCGGGCCGCCGCGGGGCTCGAGGCCGCCCGTTCCCACGCCACC